GAACAACAAAGTATTATTAAATGCTCTTTCACTAAAGCATCTTGGAAGAAATCCTGAAATCTACATCTAAACCTGATTATTACGATGAACTTGGTAAAATCCTGAGTCAGATAAAATTGGTGAAACTTGAAGGATGGGCAATCTTACTGTAATAAAGAACTATCAAGGCTAAAAAAATTCAATTTGATCCATGAACTTGTCTTTGTATAGCACTTGCCCTTCTAAACTAAACTGTAAGGCTTTTTGTAAGTCACCTAAGAGCATTAAACACTGAGTTTATGTGGTTTAAAAAAGTACAAACCAGGGGAGAGTACGTTCAGTGACAAATTTGCTACTAGCTTAAATGGTTAACATGCAGTTGACATGATGAGTTTGTTGAGCTGAAGAGCATGGATCACCTTTTGCTTGGACTGTGGCAGTGGAACAAAACTTTCTCCTCTGACTCCAGTTTTCAGCATGGTTAGCTTCACATTCAACATCTGCTTTGACCTTCCACAAAGTCCTGCCACACTTCCAGCAGCCTGGACGGGTTAAAGCCATTAACAAGGATAAGCCTGGAAAAAGTGCATCGGTCATACTCCAGATTTCGGATCTCAAACAGGTTCCTAAGCGTAGGCAGGCTGATGCCGTAGCTGGGCCGGATCCCTAGAACCCTCAGACATAAGCCAATGTAGACGTCCTCTAGAGAGATCAAGGGGACGAACTGACAGGCCCAGGTGATTCTGGAGGCCAGGTCTGTGGACAAGACGTATCCAGCTCCAGAGGTGTAGGCAGGGAAGGTGTCTTCTGGATATTGCTCCTGGGACACGTACCATTTACTGTTATGGTCTCTCCTGGGTCTTCCATCAGTGATGACTGACCCAGTGATAAACTCATGGCGTGAGCTGGTCTTCAGCCACCTTACCAAGTAAAAGACATTTACAAAGATGTCTGCATCCACCTTCATCACATAAGAGGCTTCAGGACAGTGGGTTGCAACCCAGTGCATCATCATCACTGTCTTGATGGTCAAGTTCTGGTAGCTGTCCCTGAAATTCATCTGGACAATGTCCATATGAGTCCTGCTCTCGTTCTCCAGCAGGACAGTGGACGCCTTGGACACTGGTTCTTCAGGGACACCCATAAAGAAAACAGTGAGGGTATTCAAACTTCCAGAAACAGAAACGTTGGCCCAAGTTCTCCTGATGACGGCTCGGGATTCTGTCTCCTGTGGAGCCACCGGAACCATAAAGACCAGGAATGGTTTCCTGTTCTTGCATAGTAACGGCTGATCATGTACGTACCGGTAGGTGTATGGGGAAACGAGTGCACGCTCACGCGTGGACACAAGGCTTAGTTTCGGCGAATCTCGGATCAGGCTGATCACGAGCACCGCGAGCGCGAGAAGAGCAAAAATGAAGAGAAACTTAAAAAGTCGGCAGCTGAACTTGGGTTTCCCCATCTCAAAAAACTAAAACAAAGTCTCTGTATCTGCTGTTAAACGCCCACCACCCACACTCGCCATTTTTTTACCAAAACACACACACACAGAGAAAACAGGAAATAATACAGAAATACAGGAAGTTACAAAAGGGGCAGGGCGGTGACGTAGTGGGTCACACCCAGAGAGGGAGGGGTTTTAAAGGAAAGCTTCAAGTCTGATAAGAAAACGTAGTGAAAACCACACTATAACGGTAATATGGTTATACTAATATAAAGGAAATCGTTACTAAAAATAAATAAATAAATAAAACAACGTCAAAGCAATGACAAAACCAATTTGAGCCATTATTTGGAGTGAAAACAACAACTAATTCTCAAAGACCTGTTCCTTTTCAACAAACTGTTTATTGTAATACAGTTTACAGAGAAACACGTTTCACCCAGTTAAAAACAAACAAAAACAACAAAAACAGACTTAATTTACACAGACGTTCTTTATGGGGTCAGTGGTTTAGTATTCTGCCAGAGCAGGGGGCAGGTCACTGGGCTGGGGGAAGACTGGGGTCACAGGGGTGTGAGGGAGGGAATTAAACAGTTACTAGTTTTCTAGTTTTGGCCTGTTCAAACACTATTTTCATCAACATACTCATGAGGACTTTTACAATAAAGTTCATTGAGAGTTGGCCGTTCTCTTTTTTATTTTAACATCACATAACATTCTCTGGTTCCACACATACAGTATGTACTGTATTAACATTTTAACAAAACAAAAAGCAAAGAAAAACTGTTGAGTAATATACTGTAGGTAAATGATTAAAAAAAACAAAGTCAGTTTTCCCTTTTTCACCATTCTTAAAGTTTTTCCACCATTTCTTTCTTCCTTTCTTTTTTATCTTACTAAAAACACACAATACTGTGATGGTAGTGATTTAAGCGGGACCCCTTCAGGCCCTGACATGTCAATGGAAACACTGCCATCTAGTGGACATGGTATTTAACTGATAGAATACATTTCGTATACATTTTTTCTTTCTTTCTTGTTTTTACACTTTTAGATGTTGACGAAGATGAAGAGAAATCTGTGGAAGATGAAGTGACAATGGAAACGTGTGAAGCTGCACAAAGACAAACAAATGACCAGTTTGACTGAAAGGCTACATCAGACATCTAATTGTTGTAATCTGAGGAATGTCTATTAATCCAAAAATGGTTAATTGCCCTAGACTTTGCTTATTTGTTTCAACATTGAGCTTTAAAAAAATGCACCAGAGATAATTCACAATGCCATACCCAAGTAAAGTTTTTGTTTGTTTGTTTGTTTGTTTGTTTGTTTAATATCGGTGCTAGATGGAAAATACTTAATTGGATTGATGTAAAATCCAACTGTAAGGTTTCCACAGGCTTCCTTTGCATGTAAAAAGTGAGGATTTATAATTTAGATTAGGGCTGGCAGCAAAAGTGGCAGTTGCTATGCTAATTAGCTTGCCAATTCACAAAATGCAAGTAAATTATTTTCCTATATAAGAAGGTAATAAAAATGGTAATACAAAACGTTAAATGTGGCTAAATGGGCATTTAAAAAACCTTATCTCTTCCCCCAAGGCAGGACACTAAGGTCAGGGCTACATTTCTTTTTGTACTTTGAGAATAGACAGTCAAATTGTTCATTATTATCCATGCAATGGTCCAAAAAAGACTCCTAGAGAAACACAGGGTCATGACAGCCCCCTTTAATTAATGAGTAATTAATTTCCGTCCCTGGTGAACAATACTGCGCAGAGGAATGACTCCATGAATCCACATAAATGATCACTGTTCTCACTTTGATTTATTAGATACACAACCATGGCATTGCAAGTTACCCGGTGTGTAAGGAAATGTCCAAGCTTGTCTTCACGTGTTCTGAAGGACGTGGCAGGAAACAGGAAGTGGTGAGCTAGAGCATTTTTCCTGCTCTCTTTGGTGCATGATTTGAATCTACGTGGCTTGAGTTGAATTCCAGTTTAACACATGCATTTTGCATCATTACATTAGAGGATAATGGGGTGCGGTGGGGGTCCAGACTCACAGTTGGAGGAGGATAAATGTTGAGGAAGTGGGGGGTGGGAAGGAGAGGGGTAGGGGGGACTCCTGGCAGTGGCTTTGGTTGCTGCTGGGTGGAAATGTGTTAAAAATGTGGGTGTTTCAGGAGGGGTTGGAGTCCAGACGGAGAAGGAGTGAATATTAGTGGCTGGGTTGATGATGGTGGAGGTCTATGAGCGTTTCCTCCTTCCCTCCAGATTTCTGAAGTTGGAGGGCCTGATTTTCATCTCGGCAAACTCAATCGAGTGTTCATGGCCCTTCCAGTGGAACCAGTTCACACCCTGAAGGGAGAGGAACATAACGGATGAAAAATCCTTCAACCATCAAACAAAACCATGGTATTATCCTGTGTATCATGAGGCTCTTTAACGTTGCACTATTTATCATGACTTCCAGTGCTTTCAGTATCAGGAATAGGTTGATTACAATGACTTCCTGCATTTCCTTTAAATGTTGTTTAGTGCCTAAAGTACAAACATTTGGGACTGTACCTTGCTGTGGCTGTTGTCTCCGTATCTTCCCATCAGGTTGACTCTGTGACAGTTTTTATACCAGAAGGCTCCTTTGTAGGACAGAGCACAGTTGGTGACAGCAATGTCATTATCGTGGTCGTAGGTGGAGAAAGGCCGGCCGTGGTGGTAGGTCATGGAGTCACCTGACAGAGAAAGAGAGAGAGAGAGAGAGAGAGAGAGAGAGAGAGAGAGAGAGAGAGATAGAGAGTTATAGCACAGAACAGTAGCGTTTGTTTCAGGTACATACAAAGCGGCTGGTTAAGGCTATCATATTTACCTGCTGTTCCACTGTATCCTCCTACATGTACTTTGTATCGGGTCCGAGGCTCAGAAACAGAGAACTTATCGTACTGAGCGTAGGCTGTTTCCCCTTTATCTCTCAGGTCGACTCTCAGCTCGTACTGACCTCCAGCTGTGATCTTATGAAGGTTGGACAAACCTGAAGACAAGACATGTGACAGGGAACAATTAAACAACTTTTCCACTAGGTGGGAGCAGATGCCAAAAAAAAACCAACCTAAATAAGCGACTCAGAGCTGATGAAGAAGATCTTCACTGGAGTCAGTTACATCAATTATATCTTGGTGTTCAACTACAGTCGCAGGCTCAGGTTTCACACTCAGTTAGTAAACTGTGAGTGAATTGAAACTAGTAGATTATCATCGAATTACAAATATTTTTTGTATATCTACTGAAATGAAATCATTAATAAACCGATGGGAATCAATGGTCTAATGCAGTATACGGCAGAAACCTACCGAGCCAGAATTCATCGTTCATGTCACCAAATCCAGCTGTGTAGTTCTTCCAGTTACGGAAAAACTCTAACTTTCCGCTTTGACGTCTGAGGAAAACCTGCAAATGGGAAAAAAACATGGACTCTAAGACAAGTGCAGAGACCAGTAGATAATTGGATGAAGAAAGTGGCATACACTCCAGGTTCAGTTACTCTTTAGAGAATCATAATACACATTCACAATGCAACAATCATCACTTTTCCACTAAATGGGACTAACATTTACAAATATGGCAATTTTGATTTTCTGCTGAAGAGAGAATAAGTCTTTGACTTACGATCCATCCTCCTCCGTCAGTTCTCATGTCACAGTAAACCTGCAGTGGTTGGTTCTCATCTCCGCTCTGATAGATGGTGTAAAGACCAGATGATGTTTCACCATTCAGGAGAGCCTGGGAGCAGTCTCTGGGGTATCTGTACAACACACCAACTACACACACACACACATATGAGTCAATGGACTACAATGAAAATGTCACTTCAGAATTGAAATATCTATATCAAAAACATCCAACATTACATAATTGTATTTACATATAATAGATGATTATTCTTGAAACATTAAGACAAGGAAGGGTTAGGGTTAGGGCTCTGACACTCACTAGTGGTAAAGACGGTGTTGATGATTCTGCTCCTCTTTGGTCCAGCAATAGCCTGAAGTCTGACTGAGTACACCGTGGAAGCACTGAGCTGAGCCATGTTGTATGACACAGCAGTGGGACTGAGCACCACCTCCTGGTGGCAGACAAAATATAATACATGTTAAATTAAAAACATCCCATTACACTGTTTTACATTCTGATACCGTGGGTCCTAAACTTTACCCACTCACCCTGATGCTACCGTCTGCAGACGAGTAGCTGAGGATGTAACCAGTGATGTCGGCACGAGGAGGTCTCCAGGTCAACATGCAGGTTTCAGTCTGAATGTTAGTGGCAGTCAGTTCCTGAGGAGCGTCCACATCTGAACAAAGGTTCAACAAGTGACAGTGCACAGAGGTCAAAGGTCAGATACATTTAGTCTAAAACTAGCTAGAAATTAGGTACAAGTTAATAGAAAAAAAAAACACTCAAAAGACAGGTCAATGTCCAAATAAAAGTATAAAAACATACAGTATCAAATGCATAATCAATATTATCTAAATAATCGGGACAACTAATAAACCTAATAGATTAGCTAAATAGATAGGAAACCGATGCATATGATAAAATTAGCCACATGGCAGGTAACTGTAGCTGAGAAACAACTAAGTATCATCCTAAAAAGATCATGAAATTATTTATTTGTTTAGTTTTTGGTCGGTATTGTCATTGTACCACGGGGATACAAAACAAAACGGAGCCTATGCTTAGGTGACAATGATGTTGAAATAAATATAATTTGTCAAAAAAAAGGTGAAAAACCGACATAAAGCTGATTAAAACCATTGGACATGTTTTATTTTATGGGAAACAGTTAATAAAATACCATAATAAGACTGTGCTCTTTTAGGGAACAGTGATTCTTACCGGTGATGAAGTCTGTGGTCGTGGCTGCACTTTTAGCCAAATCTCTGACAGCATAGATTTTGACAGTGTAGTGGGTAGCAGGGGTCAGAGAGTTCATCTCGAACTCCACCACGTTTCCTGAGACACGCTCCATCACAGGAGCCACTGCAGGACAGGAAGACACATTCACATTTTTTTGTAATTCTGTTTCATTACATTTGGCTGGATTTCTTTTTTATTACTGCAGATGTTTTTATCCAGTCTCTTTTTTTCATCATCATCCAGTATGATCTTGTCTCACCTCATCTTATCATAAGATAAATGTTTTTCTTATAACAGCATATTGTTAGGTTATTCTGTCTTTCATAACGCCACTGGCATTTCTCACCAGAGTCAGCGCTGTAGGTGATGACGTAGCCGTCCACGTTGGCGATGTTTGGTTGCCAAAGCAACAGAGCTCCAGTGTCTGTGATGTTGACTGCATTCAGACCCCGAGGTTTATCCAGAGCTGTGCACACACAAACAGTTTTAGGACAATACTTCAGTGAAGACTTGGAGGAGTGTGTGTGTGTGTGTATATTTTAGACCAACTGTACCTGTGGTGAGACTATCTGACCCAGGCTCACTCTCCCTCTGACCTTTGACAGCAATCACAGTGACCTGGTAGGTCACCCCGGGCGTCAGGTTGGACAAAACAGTGTGAGACTCATCGTTGATCACAGTCAGAGTCTTGGCGTGGCCTGAAAATCACATTGTTAATCAGCAAATATACATAGAAAAACTAAATGAAATACAAGTTCTTAGCTGAGTATTAAATATATATATACTCAATGTCTTTATGTATATATATAAATATATAAATATAAATAAATATATAAGATTTATCAAAATAAACAGAAATAAGTGGTTTTCAGACAGTAAACCTATGTAAATTCTACATTTGTGGAACACTTAAAATATAGATTTATTTGATTGATTTTTTTATAGAACTTGATTTTCCACTCTCTCCACTAGAGAGCAGAGTTATACCATTATTAAACAGCATTTAAAAATTTTGCCTAGCAGATGGTAAAAATATAAATTGAAATGTAATAAAGGTGATTATTGCTATGAATTATTGAACAGGGGAGTTCTTTGTCATAGGTATCAGAGTCATGCCTTGTGCAGGGTCTTGAGGTTATCTTGTTAATATGTATTAGATATTAGCATCAGTGTTAAATGTCAAGCACAGCTCAATATGACACTGACCTCCGTGAGCTGGCACATATGTGACCTGGTGACTGTCAACCCGGGCTCTAGGAACTGCCCAGTGAACAGTAGCGGAGGTGTCAGTGACATCAGAGAAGCGAATTCCTTTTGGAGCACCCAGGTCTGGAACCATCAGGACAGAAGCAGCAAAACAAAACCATAAAACGTAGGGTTTAGTTAGTGTCCACTAACATCTCTGAGGAGTGGAGGATAAAAAATACTGAAAATGTGTCAGTGAAACTGGATAAAGACTTGGTGTAAATACATTATAATAAAGAAGCAGACGAAAAACAGACAAATATACTGTGTTAATGTTGAGGCCTAAGCAGATTCACCACCTAGTGTTAGGTCGAAGCAAAAGATCAACAGAGTGAGAGAGATGGATAGAAGAGTCCTACAGAGTCTTGTTCTTCCATGGAGACCTCAGTATTATGAGTGTCAGACCTGAGGGGAGGAACTCACCCTCAATTCCTAGACGTATAAAAGGGAGACGTGCGCGAAGACACACAAAAGTCGACAACTTTACCCCAGAGAGAACAAGGAGACAATAGGCCATAAACAACATCCTGCCAGACACAGACAACGGCCCCCCATGAGGACCATCAATGTTTTGTCTAAGACAGACACTTAGAGACACCAGGAACCAAGATTCTCCAAAGACAACGACACCAGACAAAGAGAGAGAGTACTAGGTTCATTTCCTGAGTGGTGGTGGAACATTTTAACTTTGTTTAAGACATTTTATACACATTTATATCTGTTGAATCCAATGACAATCATGATGAGTCCACCCAAGACTGACCTTCTGACCGAGCAGAACCACTCAGGAACGACAAAACCTCACTATAACAGAGCCTTAAGTTAAACCCAAAATCCAGTCAGGGTCAGAAATTAAAATGGAATCTTTGTCATATCCTAGTCAACTTCACCAACGCGCCTTCTTTTTAGCAAAGTATTTTTCATTTTGTAGCTAACATTGGCTTTCCTTTTACATAATATTTGGTTTTATAATTTTTGTTTTATGTTCGTCTTTTTACCGTGAAAGTATTCAATATTTAGATGTTGTAATGTTCCAGTCAATTTCTGAGCCTGAACCGAACACTTTGTTAGTGAACAATTTGGACAAATGTGAGAAAAGAGCACCTTGTCATGCAGTTGCCAAACTGAGGATGTTGTGAGTCCACCCTGACAGAACCCATCCAGCTGTGTGTTCCCTGACCCACATCTTCACTGTATACCTGTTCTCACCCACTCCGTCACAGACTGGGAGCCTCGTCCAGCAACCAGCCCAAAGATCTGGATCTTATATACTGTGTCTTCAGAGAAGTTAGTCATGACTGCGTATCGCTCGTCACCACCCAACACCAGCTCTCGTGGTTCACCGGCGCCCTCTGCCTTACTGACCATGAGGACAAAAGTGTCAAAGGCGTCTTCTTCAGTCACCCAGTCCAGTCTGAAGGTGTCACTGGTGACATCCGAGACCAGGAGAGCCTCTACCACACGCTCCGTTTCTGAGTAACATAGTAGGGTCAGTTTTTTTTTTCTCATCTCTGGAACTTCAGAATGTGGTGAAATTTAAGGAGCATGGAAAACAACAATCTGAAATGTCAATAATGGTTAAGGTCTTACGATCAGTAGAGTCACATAGTGTGAGTTTTCATAGAGAGTAACAGAACTTTGCTGACAGGAAGTGAAGGTGACACAGGATGAAGACAAAGAAAACTCTTTAGCTGCTTTTACTGTGGATGAAATAAAAAGAGAGGTGACTGAGAAAAGAGGCTGGTTTTGGTGCAATGGGTGAAACATGAAGCTGTGACTGAGATCACTAAACATTATCAATCGACTTTTATTAAATCTTAATGCGAAATGCTGACTAAAAACTGTAAATGTATAAAAACTCCCCAGGCTCCCCAAATGCCCCAGGCTGAGACTGGTCTTTGTGCTGTATTCTGTTTGAAAGTTTTTCACTCCACTCCAGGCCACAGCAGTATTTCTGTTGTTTACAGTAGGGAAGTTGTAAATACAGTAGTTTTCTCGCCTGCTTCTTTTAGAATAGAACAAAAAAGAAATCTACAGTAAAGTCTGGTGTTCATGTGTCTACAGATGGGAGGGAATGTGACTATGATGATGCTATAAAAGCCTCCATTAAACAGTCACCAAAAGCAGATAATGACAGCAGTGATAGGAAAAGAGTGGAGGGAAGGAGAAGCTGCAGAGAAGAGGACAAGTCCAATTAAGGATAATAACTAAAGAAACGTCTGGAAGCAGAAGAACACAGACCCGCCCCGGCTGTCATTCAGCCGGTCAGTCAGAGACAGGATTTGTGTCTGTAACTAATATGTTCCTTCTATTACGGTTTCTTTCAGCCATACTTTCATTATCAGTGATTCCCATCAGCTGAAGACTTTGACAAACATTGTTCTTATTCTTCTGGACTACCTTTGAGTTATTTTCTAATTTTTTACAAATAAGAGGTCATCTCCTCTTTACTACATCTGTTTCTCAGCTATGTTTAAGCTGTACACAGGCCACGCATACTTTATTGTACACTATGTTGTCACTTAGGAAGTTTCTTTTAACTTTACTAAAATGTGTCTTTTTTTAAATAATTAATATTCCTTGTCCTTTTTCGCATGACCTGGACCCTAATTTTTGCATTATTAGGAATTACTTCTGCATAACTTCTATGCATTCCTTGCCTGATTCAAGTCATGTTGGTTACATATATTAGAACTACTTTGAAAGGTCAGTTAAAGGTAAATGTTACAGGATTCTTAAAAAAAAAATCATAAAATAATGTATCTGCAAAAGTTGTTTTCACTGGTAAAAAAGCATTTATAGAAAATGTTCAGCTACATCAATGTCCATTAACATGCGAACAAAGAGACCGTGTTCACTGGCTGCCATATTCTCTGTGGCCTCAGCAGCCCACGGCACCCCAGCTCCAGCGCCCGCAGGGGCAATGGCAGCTTGAGAATGAAGAGCCGTCCAGACTTTGGGGGAAACTGGACATGCATACAGAAAGAGCCCTCACATAAAAACCCACAAAAGCCCCTGAGGGCTGTTTTTTCCCCGTCTTTCAGTACTCCATCTTTCTTCCACTTGACCGATTTTCATCAATGAAATCCTGAATGATGATGTCCAAATAAATCCTGACACTGGGGAAAGACCTGCCAATGAAACTGAAACTGGATATTTTTGAACTTGTACTCTAAGGTAAAACCATTTCACTTTCTCACACATTTCTTTGTTTATAATTTGGACAGGTGCTCAGGGGCAGAAACAGCATGTCATTATCAGATTTGGGCTGTGCTGTTCACAAGCCTGTATTTAGCCTGGAACATTGTAATTCCAAGCATGTTAATGTTTACTAAAGACTGTGATTGGTGCAGAGAGGAGGCGAAGTGCAACACCTGTTGCGTCCAAGTTAAGCAGCTCACTGTTCTTTTTTTCTTTTATGTCTTTGTGGCTGTTTCACATGAAAACCAGGTGCTGTTTCACAGCTGAAAGGTGCAGCGCACTGTTGGCTGTGTGGCTAATGCTTGTTAGTACATTTTTGTTAGCACATTTGTTTTGTGGCCTTAATGTATCAATCATGTTACCTGAAGTATGACTAATGAAATCTAATCTAATCTAATCTAATTCATTACAACACAGTTTTCAAGTATATCAACCGACCATTTCACATCTGTATTTTTCCACCTTTGTTAAAAACCTTGTTGGCATATAGGTGACATTTCAGCCTAGAGAAAAAAGTCTTTGAATGCACCATTACCATTTTTTCGACGTAGTTTGATTTGAAATACATCAGATCTTGGTTAGATTGATACAGAAGGTTAAAATAACCCATTCCTTCTGGATCACTTGTGCCTACGTCAACTGTCCACTGGTGACAAAGAAATAGTTAATTCAGTAAAGAGCTGAAAAAAGAAAAAGAGAAGCAAAGAAGATCCAAGGCGTGGAGTTTGTGACGACACGTTTTCACAGCAGAGAAGAAGCAAAAGAAGCGGGAAATAAAGTGAATCAGAAGGTCGCAGCGGTGACGGCTTTGATACCTGTGATGGTGTCTGCAAAGACGGGATCTAAGAGGAGACCTCTGAACACACCGTACAGATTAGCTCTGTACCAGGTGGAGGGTGCAAGGCCAGAGACAGAGAGGCTACGAGCTTCAGAGGGCAGAGTGTGGTTCTGCCACTCAGCACCTGTTTCTGCATCAGAGACCTCCACCAGAAAGGAATCAAATGCACCATCCTCTGCTGTCCAGGACAAGAGGAAACTGTCCCAGGACACATCACTGATGGTTATGTTGGTCACCACAGGCTTCTCCTCCTCTGAGTGATGACAAACACATCAACACAACGTTACACAACTGAGACACACACACACACACACAGACACAAGGTACACACAAACAGGATGACCAACACAGGTTTCAGAAGCTGATGGTGAATGTTGGGATTAAACCAGTGATGGAGACGGGATGTCAGATGAGTGAGGTCCTCTTTGTAAATTCTCTGAACTAAGGAGTAAAATACTCGTAGAATAAAATAGATGAGTTGCATCATCATCATCATCATCATCATCATCATCATCATCATCATCATCATTATCGTTATCATCATCAACAACAGTCTTTCAGTTCTGCTTCGGTAATGGAACTCATACATATCAGAATTCTTCCTCAACTTAGACCTGAGTCAAAACAGCATGCAACTGTTCATTTACTACAGGAAAAATGTGAATCAACAGCATCTGTCGATAAATCCATGACAAAATGGCTGCATCTAAACCAAGGGCTCTCATTTGTACTTCCCCTTTTTATGTTGCTGCTGAAATTCCCAGGTGGAAAAATCCTCTTATTTACAGAACAGAAGGTCAGATGAAAAAGGCCGTAATTATCGACAGACGCCTCTAGCCATCTCCTCCAAATTACCATATAAGTTGAAGGAATGTAGATGGAAAAGCTGCAGCCAGACATGCTGATGCAAACGCTGCACGCTAATGGCTTTGAACAAGCTGCCATTAACATTTGAAGGTGCGACGTAGCCCAGCCTTCAGTGTGGCTGAAGTACAACGCACACTTCAAACCCAGGGGCACATCATGCAGAAGCAGCAGCGGTGGCAATGGCTGCTTATAATTTACGTCTATTGTGTGTGCAAGCAATCAGAGAGTGGATTAGGAAGGTGATGGATGTTCCCAGGTAAACAAGGAGGCTCCTCCATTATCCTCTCAGAGGAGGAGAGAGGAGCAAATGGAAGCAAACAATGGGACTGCTACAGGCTTAGGGCTGTAGGTGATGGAGGATGGGGAGGAATCAGCTGAGGATAAACCATTCTCTTGTGTGAAGATGATGCATTCACTATAGAACCTTTATAGTAGTTATTTGGTGTCCTAATATTTTTGAGTTTTTATTGTCATAACTGGATTTGAATAAATAAATAAATTCAAGATTGTTTTGATGACAGCATGAAAACAAACTTCTGCAGTGAAACATCTATATTTTCCATGTTTCATTCCAAAAGTCTTCATGTCTTAATGTCTACTCTGAGATAAGAGAAATAAAGAAAATAAAGAAGCATCCCTATGCAATGAGTTTTTCTGATGTGTTTCAGTTATGAGTTTAATGATAATATTTGATGCTTATGTCCTAATAGCTCAGTCAAATGGTCAGATATCAGATAGTGTCATGACATTATGATATTTGTCCATTCTTTCTTTATTGTACAAAGCTATAACTTTAAAAATAAACTCCTCCTTGGATCACAAACAAATACTTTGGTAAGCTGTGTTTCCATCAGATAATTCCTTCTTTGTTAAATTCTGTTCCATGTCTTTCTTCGTCTAAGGACTAAAGTCCAGTTATTTCAAATTTACTTTCAATTTTGCTGAAACCCATCAGATTGAGTGACAGTAGATAAAAACCTGTCGTGAATAATCTTAACAGGTTTCTATTCACGTTTGGTTTAAATTTGCTCTGATTTCAACCTTATTCATTTCTAAGGGATGAACAACTTGTAACAAAACTTAACACGTGACTTAAATAAAAGAATCTAATTTGTCAAAGATGTTGGAGACACTAGAAAAACCTTTCTTTACACAGTGTAGTTATTAAAACTGACATCTCCTAAAAAACACCTTTGGATTTATTTTCATATTCAAGAAGACAAGCCAACACATGCTCAGGGATGCAGACTGAAGCTGAGAGAAAGACTCTCTTCATGCAGGACTAGGACCAGGACCAGGACCAGGACCAGGACCAGGACCAGGACCAGGACCAGGACCAGGACCAGGACCTGACTTGTTCATTCTTTCTGTGACACATTTATATCCTGTTTATGGATACAATGGAATATAATGAAAATAGAAAAAGTGAGTCGACCTGTACCTGTTATAACACACTAAAAAATGCAGACAGATTCCCATCTTTTCGTGCCATATTCTGCAAGGGCTGCAATGGATATATGCACACACCGAAACTTCCCAGAATCCTTTGCTTGTTGGAACAATTTCTGTATATCTAAGCTGTCTTATTTAAAAATAGCAGAAAACACCATCTGACTTCCTGTGACCTGCAGTCTGTAGGTACCTACAATTACCCTTCAGTTGTGGATTGTTCCAGATACACGTCTGGAGAATATTCATTTTACAAATCACCTCTGACAGTAGATCAAAAAGCTGCAGGATTCCCAGGAAAAATGGTTTAAATGGGAATCACAGCATGTGGTCTTTATCAAAGGGTGCCACAGTTCATCATGGTCAAATCACACCACGGCAGAGGAGACAAGGCTTAGACCAACAATTAGCACATGAATGGATTGTTGGAGGGATCGTACCACTCTACAACACCACAATAACCACATGCATACGCACATGAACAATCTCCATCAGTCTTTCAATCATACGAGCTGAACAACCGCACACACACCGACACACACACACACGAGTGGACTTCAGATTACAAACAAAACTAACAGAAATGCAGAAACCAACAGATATCCGACTCTAAATTAGGATCAGACTTTAGACCCAAAAAACACAAACAACTAGAAGACACAATTCTTTTCTACAGTCCTCGAAAAGCAAAAAGTATATCATAAAAAATGACGAGTTTCTTTGATCACATCAGCAATGTTTTACTATCACCAAATCAACCCCTGCCTGTAGTTGCAGCACATTTAATAAGCTGTTAGATAACAGAAGGATTGATTTGTGAAATATCTGGGACCACAGAACAGAAAAACATACAATTAACAATAATTAATGGGGTATAAAAAAGAAATCAAGAAATAACAACATCCACAGATACTAAACAAACCGACTCCTGCCAAGTCCAGTAAAGTAAGTCTAATAAATGACAAACATTCTCCATATTCCTCTCTCCGATTTTAATGCTCTTCATGCAGCTTGTCTTTGTAGGATCTGCTCTTGTCCTTCTGAAGACAGAGAGAGGGGTGGGGGGCGGGGGCGTGGGAGCGATGAGGGGGCATTATCTAACCTTCTCATGGGGACAATCTCTGTAATTGAAAGTCATTACAGGAAAATGTCTCAGCATTTGCAAAACCAGAGACAGAGCTAGACATGTAGTCCAGAGAATAGAAATGAGCTCCGTCTCTCTGATGTTCTGTGTCAGATACATGGACCAAAGTCTGAGCAACACTTGAACTTAACCTGGGGTCCATATGGGACTGGAGGATTACAATACAGGATTCTGTTGTTGTGCAGATCACTGTATCATCACCACTGCACATTAACTGGACTGAACCTCTGTTGTTATAAGTTGTCACTTGCAGTCCCTCCACTTCAGTTCAATTCATCTTGTGTTTTTTCCCCACACCCTCCCCTTTTTCTTTGCCAGTTTGTCAAATCATTTGGAGACTTAAAAATTTGTTAACAGTATTCCACCACGTTTTCTCTTTTGGAACACAGTCTCTCTTTCGGATTCTGTACTTCTGCCACAGTACTCAGATTGAGTAAAGACCCTTCCCTATCTGTTGTCCACAATTTGTGACATTTGCCTTTTGCTACTGTTTTAACTAAAGATATATCCATATCTAATAATATCTAAGTGAGTTCCAGTTCCTGGTGCTACAGGTCAGGTGGAGGTGTTTGACCCCCTTCGCATGTTAGAGTAAGAATTGCAAAAAGGGTTCTGATGAAAAAAACTGAAAGACACCAGTCTTTCTAACTCCACCAACTACGTTAGCTTCAGCCAATAATAACAACAGAAGCACATGCAAAGTGACCTGTGGTCTGTGCTACTAATAAATGTCTCAGTTCCAGTGTTTCATCTCTCGACGTTGAACTTGACATTGTACAGACTGATGCACCCACATTTTTGGAGTAGTTAAGTTTTCAACACTCTGCTGTCAAACAGTTGCCACTGCTTCATCAAAAACCTTGTTACAATAACTGAAACTCATATTCAGTGTGTGTTTAATATTTTGGTCGCTGACCTGTCGGTGCGGAGATTGTGGACGGTACGCTGCTCCTGCGACCTCTCTCTGCAGTGATGCTGATGGTGTACATCATTCCAGGCGTTAAACCTGTTAAGATGTGAGTGTCGGAGCTTCCTGGGACATTTTCCTCTGTTCTATGACCGTCAGCGGACACGTGGATGAGTCTGTAGTGGTCAAACTTGGCCAGAGGTCGCTTCCACTCTAGCACAATGGTGGTTTCTGTCACCTCTGTCGCTGTCAGGTCCTTCGGAGCATCCAAGGCTGCGATGAAGAAGAAAGAAGAGAAGTTTGTGTGGCACAGAGAAACTGATGGAAGGAGACCGTGTTTGACTTTGGTTCTGCCAGACATAACACAAGTTATGCATATGAACAATTGCCACAATATGTCAACGTTGGTTTCGCTTCACTAACATTTGTTCCATGTCAAATGCTTTAATGTAAGCTAAGGAACATGAACAATGGCTGCAGAATCAGCACAATACAGAAAAGATTGCGGCATAAAAGAGGATTCTGGTTCGGAATCAAGAATTTAATATGTAACAGAAAATGTCAAAGTCATAATGAATGAATAAGATAGATTAATGGCAGATGCTGAGCTCAGAGCAAATGAGTAATTCTTTAAAGAGAAAGGAATCAAAGAATGTTAGATGCACAAACCTGTTCATACTGTTGTCTCTGGCTTTCGCTGCTTTACTTGTATTTTTCTGAGCCCAAACCTTTACTAAGTTTATCTGGAAATAATCTAATCCTGCAACACATGTGATGGCCTTCATATGCTACTTGTAAAAGGACTGTGTGAAGTACCGTAGGCTTTGAGGACATCAACATTCTCTGTCACTTTAATCTCAATATTTTAGTCATCATCAATCATTCTAGACCATGACACATATCAAACAGCAGAAATATATATTTTTTCTGTGTAATACCAGATCATGTGAAAACATCTCACCAGTCACTGCATTGGTGGTCGTTGGCAGACTCTCCCGCTCGTCTTTCAACGCTGTGACTCCCATTCCATATTCTGTCCCCGGTCTGAGTCCTGGACATTGAAAAAACAGTACCCGGATCATTAAAAAAAAAAAAAAAAAAACAAGCCTCATGTTTTGTTTGTTCTAATCCACGGTGGTGTCACTAAATGAACGATGAGGAGTCTGTGTAGTCAAGTGGCCAGCTGTTTCTCCTAATGGCTCCACTGCTTGTGACAAAACACACAAAAAAGACTCTTCACGCAACTTAATTGTATAATAGATTGCGACGTAATTGTGTTTCATGGTGAGTAAGTCCTGGCTGAACTGGATTTGCATTGATGGATCTATAGAGCCCTTGTCTCTGCATATAAACACGTACACCGGGCTGCTCTAAAGAAGTTGGGGCTGGGTTGGATCAGCCCTGGTTCCTTTATTAGCTGCCACAGAGGTCATCGCACTCACAGGCCTACAGCGTGAAATTACAGCAAACACTCAGGGATGTCATTATCAATGAAACCATGAGCGTGACGGTAATTACTGATAATAACTGTGTGAAAGAAGTGCCGAGGTGCATGTGTGTGTACCTATGTGTGTGTGTGTGTGAGTGGATAGAAGGACGTGCTGAATGGACGCAGGGCTTCAAGTCCATGGAACTGGCCTTTGAAAATAAAAGACTAAACACCTATAATCCCTGTTTTCATCTTTTGTATTAAAATACACATACAAGGCAGTGAAAGTGAAGCCTAGGATGTATGGGGGGAGGGGGGTTGGACTCACTACTAGCGAGTCAATCTATGAAATGTTTTTCAGTGCACAATTTTCATCAGATTCTTTCTAAAATATGTCCTTTTTAACAACTTACTTTTCAACACCAGGTGCAGAAAAAATAAATCACTGAATTTATCAAAAAAGGCAGAGGAGCTGCTGTGTTACTGAGGATATAACGTAGGATATAGCTGAAGTGCTATAATGGTCTTTGGTTGAATTTCCTGCTGGGTCAGTACCTGTGATCTTGGCCTGTGTGGTGTCCTTTGGACCGGGACCAAACAGCAGTTCACCATGTTCTCCTCCAGACAGAGGTCCATACTTGATACGATAGTTGTCCACGTGAGCTTGACTGTTCCTCCATTCCAGAGTGATGCTTTCATCTGTCACGTCCACTGTCTGCAGATTCCTGGGGGCATCCAGGTCTAAAACACATGACATACTGATAGTTTTGGCTAGGCTCTCTACAGCCTTTCTTTCCAACTGTATTTTTGTAGTGGTTCAATAGTGTAGCGGTTAGCACCCCTGCCTCGCTAGAACAGTCCTGGGTTTGATTCCCAGAAGAACCACACACTGTATCTGGCGCCTCCAAAGGGCAGATCTGCTATTAACACCAGAATTTCCCCCGTGTGAACTTCATAAACTAATGATTATTAAATTTTTCAGCTTTTTCAATTCTTCTTTTGCCAATTGTTTGGGTAAATAAGGTCACACTTATATTATCAAATATCTCTCATTCAAAAAGAAAAGAATCACTGCTTTAAGAGGAACGTGTTCAGGTGTAGGCTTTACAGTACAAGCTCTTTCTGAGTTTTGGTTTTTCTTTCATATATTTACTAAACTGAAAATGAACAATCATCCGTGATTATCATCTTCTCACCTGTGAGGAAGGATTTGTAAACAGGAATACTGCTCCTTTCTCCCATCTGTCCAGTCAGAGACACCTCATATTGAGTGTCGGGCACCAGACCTCCCAGGTGATACTGGGTGTCAGTTGAAGACAGGTCCACCACACTGCGATCAGATGGGTCCGAGCTGGGCCCGTATGAAACGCTGACCTTGTCCACATGGGCCACAGGCTGGAACCAGGTCACCAGAGCTGTTGTGTCTGTCACATCTCGTACGTCCACTCGGCCTGGGGCGTCAATCTCTGCAGGAAATCAGGATGAGTTTAAGGTTGTTTTGTATCATCTACACATGTCAAGGCCAGGAACACTGAACATTGGTGCAAGCTCTTCATTGCTCATTGTGGTGTACAGTAAGAGAAGTGGAGGAGAAGTGGAGGAGAACAGAGTCCTGAGCTTGAAGGTACTGTAGAAGGGGAGTGTGGTCTGTGCTTACGTAGATGAAAATGGTGCAGTCAGATTGGAGTGGATGGAGATAAGTGAAGAATGGCAGCAAAGTTGAAAGGTCGGGTTTATAAGACAGTCCTGCTGTGATGTCTAGTTTAGAGGGTGTGGTTCAGTCAAATAGACAAAAGGCAGAGTTGGAAGGAAAAGAAACTCCTTCTCATTGTGACACAGCACATCACTGCACACAACCAAATGCGACCTCTGCATTTAACCCATCACCAACGTGAACAGTTGAACAGTGAACAGGTAACTTGGCAGCTGGTGAATTCAAACGTGCAACCTTTCATACCCAAGTCCGCTTCCTTAACCACTAAGCCACCACTGCCACATGCAAGGGAAGAGATGCTGAGAATGCTTTATTTGCCTTTTATTTATGTGCCTTTGTTTCATTCGTCTAAACTATTGTCCTTTTTCTGGCTCAACGATTGACCGCTACTGGTCAGAATGTTCAGAATAACATTATACATCCCTCAATGATTTTGATGCTGACAAGCTCTGCTTCTGTCTGTTGGCATCTTTTATAGCAAATTCATAAATTCAGCCATCTCAGCAAAGCAGGTAGTGAAAAAATCTGACAGCCTTCTTGCATTTATAAGGTTATTCCAACTATTTATAGATCAAATCCCCGCTGCGCTCGTGTGACGGGCGTCTTTTCAGCTGCACTGGAATTGATTTGTCACACGCAGCAACTTTAGGAAAGTCAACGCTCCTGTGCAGCACTGATAAAAAAGAAAAAAAAAACAGAATCTGTGTTGAGCTCATCGTACAACTGTCTTCTGGGACACACACACACATGTGCACGCACACACACACACAAACACTGATCCACTCTCCTGGGAGCCAGGTGGTCCTCAGAGAGCCCGGCTGCTCCACTGACTGGTGCCTACCACGCATTGTAGGTCAGGCTGTATGGAGGGGGTGGAGAGCTGGGAGGAGTCCTCCTCACACAATTAGCTCTTCAGCATGCTAATCTCAGAGAACATGCCACTGGCTGGTGTGACAGTGAAAATAAGAAGATCAACATAGAGGAGAGTGAACCTCATGACCTCCCTAACACACGTTAGTGCTTTAGTACGGACCAAATAAAAAAACAAAAGAAATAAATGTTTGTTTTCAATTACTACTTGGTCCCAGTGAGACAAAACATTCCAAACAATTGCAGTATTCAAACTGAATTAATATTTGATGTTCTAATGATGGAGACTTAAAAAATACACTTTGCAGTATAAACCACTGTTTCTGAGAGAAAAAAATAATGCAACCTTGGCTTAACATCACAAAATTTCAGACTTCAGTTTCTCAGCTTGCAGAAACCTGTCATCTACATATATAAATATATATATATATAAATATATAAATATATATATATATACACACACACACATATATATATAAATAAAAAAAATATATATGTATATAATGTCCATCTATAGCTTCAGGTCCTGTACATTTTGTCCACATATCTAGCAGAGAATAGCCATGGCACATATGACAGCTACTACATCCCAGATCTAACCTGATAATTCTCATAACACTATTATAACAGTATGTCTGTGTCCACATCTCATATGCAGTTACTGTTTTTTTCTTTCTTAAGAAAAGTGACTGATAAGAAAATAAAGAACGTGTCCAGCAGAAATGCTGGCGCTGTTCTAACTATTGGGATTGTTAGATACGTGCTGTTATGACAGGACTCTGATGGTATTTCCACACAGGGCTGTTTACTCTGGCACCAAGCAGCATTCACACCATTAAAAATAAGCAGAAACTCAGCCTGACCCACTACTGGTAGTAGCTGTCATTTATTAAAGTTGATCTGGAGAAGACAGTGAACACAGGGGCTCTTGTTTGGGGTTTGTCCCTGGAGTCGACTGTCTGTCTGCACTGATGGAGTGGAGGTTTCAGTTTTCACCGCAGAACTGCTTTTTTTATCTAAAGAAAATACACATTTACTAACTTCAGTGAGACTGAAAGCTACTCTAACACCCAGTCGAGACACTGATGATCAGCTCTTTGTGTCCGTTACCACACAATGGACAAAATGTAGCAGTCTCCAAGTTGCTAAATGTCATCAAAGTGTTATATGAGGACTTATAATCAGATAAGAAGTCCTTTATTCACTGTAGAATGGTAGAACCTTAGAGTTGACATTGACTAGATTTAAACATTAGTAAAAAAGCTTAACCAAAAATATTACATTATCCTATGCTGCCTCTATTTTTCAGAGTGGTACAATCCTCCATGTTTTATATCCTGGCCAAGCTTTGGTGATTTCTCATTCCCTGCCGATTAAACTGTGTATAAATCTATATCTGTTTTTCACTGCATCCAAACTAAATTGAGATGAAGTGCTGAAAATTATTGAGCTAATCAGTCAGTCCTGACACCGAGTGCTGTTTCCAATTCTCTACTGGAACATATAACAGGACTGATGCTGAGGCTAGGAAGCATCTGAAACAATGGGCAAAGAGACACTTTATTCCACAATAACCTCTCTGTAGAAAATTCTTTAACTGTGAGATCACAGGTCATCGTGTGAAAACACAAAGGTTTTCAACAAGTTTATTGTATAGGAATTGACTATTTCAACAATACTGCATTAAATAGTTCTCAGACCTAAAATCAAAGATCTAAACCATAATATAAAACTCTCACAAAAATAGAACGTTATAACATTGAACATTGCAAAAAGCTGGGTTAAAGATTGTCTGGAATAAAACCAATGTGCTAAGTGGAGGAAAAAAGCTGGATAAAGGCTGTTTAGCAGCAGTGAATGCGGACCACTCACTTGTGACAATGTTCCTGGAGGCAGGCGGTCCGCGCTTGTTGTTCTTCACCACCTCTAACTTGACCTCGTACTCTTGGCCTGGGCCCAGGCCCGATTGCTCAAAGGTGGTCTCTGGACGACCGAGAGCATTAAGAATCTCACCGTCCTCCTCTTTCTGCCGGCACCAAAACACACGAGTCATTGACCACTTCAAACAACATCGTCCTGGCAACATGCAATGAGTGGGGGAGTTAAGTAGAGAGAGGTGGAGAGGGTAGACTGAACAGTCCAAATCATACAAAATGACAGTCTGGGTGGTGTTTGTTCTCAACAGTTGATGTTTGGATGTGTTTTTAGTCTGGGGTTTAGTAAAGCCTGCTCGTGGTGTTTGGCAAAGGTTTCTATGAGAAGAAAGTGACTAACATCTGCTTGATGAGGCGGTTGAGGGTACACTGTGGCTTGGCCTACACATTTTCCACAAGATATTTCCTCTGATTCTTGCATTTCTAGAGTGGGAGGGATTACTTGATGTACGTAGTCTGAGGTTCTGGTAGGGTCTATATCTAGTTTCTAGGAGATCAAAATGTTTATAATGATGAAGGATGTGTGGTAGAGGCTCAATGCCTTAACCACCCTGTGGAATACTGTAGCTGAATTAGCACAAAGAGGTGTGTGAAGGACACTTACTGTGTTTCTAAAGATGAGGTTCCAACCATCGAAGGGAATGTTCAACGGCTCCCACTGAACCTCCACTGAGGTCTCCCTAACCGACTTGAACTTGAGTCCTTCAGGCTCAGGTAGATCTGCATAAAGAATGGAAGACCCTCTCAAACTCTGCATATCATCCTAATTCAATGTCACCTGAATAAAAAGAATGTTTTACTGGATTGACTTACGTGTGGCCACTCTGGCACTGACTGGAACACTTCTTTTGTTGCTAAGAATGGCGTATACGTTGATGATGTACTCGATGCCAGGTTCCAGCTCCCTGATAGTGGCCAGCTTCTGATCTCCAGGCACCCTCATGTCCAACTCCAAACCTCCTGCTGCTGTGGGCATGTAGGTGATCAGGTACTCTGTAACACGCATCTCATTTTCCCAGGACAGGTCTACTGTCTCAGGAGTGATCTCCACCACTTTAAGGTTCTTGGGTGGAGAGACTGTGGAGAAACACAGAAAGTCAGTGAATAATTAGCCAAGGTTAAAAAATGACATGATAAATGATTGCAGTATTGCAGCAAAACAATACAACATTCAGTTTATTAGCCTCTACTTGCCATATTCTAAAGATATCTTTGCCTTTCTTACAGTATTTTGCCAAAGATGATCTTGTTTAAAATGTTCCGTCGTCTAGTAACCAATTGTTGAATGCATTGTTGACATAAAGTTAAACTTTTACCTGGATAGAAGCCAATGTTTTTAGTGCTGATGGTTTATTTCTACCCTGTTCAATGTGTTCATTCATTTTGCACAACTGTGCATTTGCCTTTTCTTACTAGAATACAAATCAGAAACAGTGTGATTCATTCAAAATCCCGACCTTGATCTTGAATAAGCATTTTAATTGTGTTAAAGAAACGTCATACCAATTAACTTCAAAAACAGTTTAGTTCTTTTAATGAATGCTTAATGTTCTTAGTGTAGATTGCCATTCTATTCTTCAATGAGGGTAGAATGCATATTTTTTAAGTCACTGAGCAAACAAACCTGAACTGGTTCATCTCATTGTTTTGATCTTAAAAACCATAAAACAGTATCCATTCCTATATACAAATGAGAGAAGCTCCAATGGTGTGCAATAAAATGTAATTTTTGTTTTTCTACGTATATATGTTACGTTTGCTATATTCAATGTAAACGCATAGAATATGAATGAACAAATACAGTTTCGTACGATTCAAGAGAAACGTTTGGTTTTTGGCCAAAGGAAATATAGAAAGTTGTCATAGTAAACATTAACAGATGTTTCCAGAAAAGTATTATATTTAACATGTGGTAACTTATTTAAATTAAACATATGCTATATATTATATTATTATATTTATCTATTCTGGGGCTACATGGTATAGGATAGAGGCTTTTGCCTCACTACTGCCAAAAGGTCCATGACCAATGTACAATGGTCTGTACAGTACAGTACAGTACAGTACAGTAGAGTTGGTTTGTCTTCTAAAATATACTCACTTTAAACTTAAGTTAGCATAAGTACTATTTCAGCTTCTTTTTTTTCGTCTGGGGAACTTCTGGGGAAACCACTTAAATTTGAAGCCACAGAGTGCTTCCAGGACTGGCGCATTCTTGAAATCCATTGGTTCTATTAGTTAGCAAATCCGTGACAGTCAACACCCTGATCAATTGTTTTCACCAGTTGCTGAGAAGTCTTGAGTCAAACACTTTGCATCAGCTTATTAAATCATATCCTGTTTCCCAGTGAATATTGATGTCCTGCCTAAATTTATAGTTACCTGCTCTGCCTGGCCCATTTCTCCTGGTTTTCCTGTCTCTGATTCTGTTCGCGCACTTCAGCAGCAAGAGAGCATACTCCCCAAACCTGTTATCTGCAAGTTTCCCTATTCCCTATACAAGTACTATTTCATGACACTATTGCTTATCAACTCAAAGCACATCCCCTCTGCCCTCTTTGGGAATTTCCCACCTAAAAAAGATGTCCTAGGCATCTAGCTCAAACTCCCAAGATGACTATCCACCTTGCTTCCCACCTGGACTTTGTTTTAGAGTAAATCGTTATTGTGCTGCAAGTGGATTGATTGTTGTATCCTTGAGAGTACATACTGGACACCAAATGGGGCCAGCACATATTATTCTGGGCAGTTTTAGTATTGACTTGTCCACCTAGCCTACTCAATCAGTCTGTAAAACTAGCAAAGCTGCTGCCACATCAAACACGGGTTCTTCTATCGCAAGATGTCCAACTTCAGCCAAGTGACCCATCCACATGCCAACTTCTCCCAGTTGAGCCTCCCAAGTTGTAGATTGGGCCTACAATGTGTTTGTGGTTCCAAAATCATTGAAGTCCGATTCCAAAATTGAAAGAATCTTTCTTGATTTGGAGCCTTTTTAAAAGTCTAATGTTCCACCTTCCACCACAGCACAGACTGCTGGTGCATCCACCGCAAGGGTTCCCTGGTTAGTGACTTTTGTTGCAAAGCACACATTGTCTGACTCTACAGTAGCTAAATCTCTGCATTTGCCACCACTGGTGCAGAATGCTCTAACGCATTATACCTCCCAACCCCCCTTGGCATAGTCTTCCATGGTGTTTGCTTCACAGCTCCCCTTTGCAAAGTCTTCTACAGTGCCTGCCTCTCAGAACCCCTCTACAAGATCTTCCTTGGCTCTCTCTTTTAGCCCTCCCCCCGTTGGCAGGGTCTTCCAGCGTATGCCTCACAGCCATTCTTGACAGAGTCTTCAATGAGCAAACCCCCCCATGCAGAATCAATTCAATGGTGCCTGCAGGTGTCTGTCTTCCATTTATACCCAAACCTTTGTGGCAGTCTAGGCACGATTCAAAACAAACCAGAAATTGGCATTTTAAGGTCAGAGATTTCTTGTTGAAGTTCTTGTTGACGCTAACATCATCCAGGCCACATGAGCCCAAGTCTTGCAAAACATTTCTCATTCCCTCGGTCTGTCTTGACATACCTTCCTCATCACCTTCCACCTTAGCTATCATTTCAGTAAGATGAGTTTCAGGCTCTATCAGCAGGTTAGGTCCTAGTCCCTCAATTCCCCAGTCAGCCAGATGAGTCAGGGCACGTCCTTTCCTCTACCAAGTACTTGAGAATATGTTTGGGTATTGTTGATTTAAATGTGTTTACTTTATCCTCCATTTTCAGGCGAATGGGATTATTATTTACAAACGGACATCATATTGAAATCTGTTGGATGTTGATAGATATCGTTAGCAGCTGGGACAATTTAGTTATTTAAGTCCACTGCATGTCCAGGAGACACACTTTTCTTATAAAGGCTTGAAACTCAAAGGTCATCAAATTACTGCAGAAAACGTGTTGTAGATGGATGAACATACAATAATGATCCTGTGGCAAGATTTATGAAAAATTGATTCTGTCCTACCTTCAGAACAGTCTTCTCCAATGAAGCCCTCCTCACAGACGCACACTCCGTTCTCACAGCGTCCCTGGTTCTGACAGTCTCCTGGACAGGTCAGTGTGGAGCAGTCAGGGCCGGTGAAACCCTCGTAGCACACACAGTTCCCGTCCACACAGTACCCTCTGTCCAGACAGTTGTTGGGACATGTCTTCTCACTGCAGTCCTCACCAATGAAACCTTCATGGCAAACACATGTTCCATCTACGCAGAACCCTCTGTCCAGGCAGTTGTTGGGACATGTCTTCTCACTGCAGTCCTCACCGGTAAAGCCTTCATGGCAAACACATGTTCCATCTACGCAGAACCCTCTGTCCAGGCAGTTGTTGGGACATGTCTTCTCACTGCAGTCCTCACCAGTGAAGCCTTCATGGCAAACACATGTTCCATCTACACACAAACCCCTGTCCAGACAGTTGTTAGGACATGTCTTCTCACTGCAGTCCTCGCCAGTGAAGCCTTCATGGCAAACACATTTTCCATCTACACACAAACCCCTGTCCAGACAGTTGTTGGGACATGTCTTCTCACTGCAGTCCTCACCGGTGTAGCCTTCATGGCAAACACATTTTCCATCTACACACAAACCCCTGTCCAGACAGTTGTTGGGACATGTCTTCTCACTGCAGTCCTCACCGGTGAAGCCTTCATGGCAAACGCATTTCCCATGCACACAGTGTCCATGGTCGAGACAGTCATTGAGGCAGGTGAGCACACTACAGTCTTTACCAGTGAAGCCGATGAAGCACACACACTTGCCGTCAATACACTCACCATGGCCTGTGCAGTCTTTGGGACAGGTCTTGATGCTGCAGTCCTCACCAGAGTATCCCTTATTACACAAGCACTGTCCATCGATACAGCGGCCATGGTCATGGCAGTTGTTGAGACAGGACAGTTCACCACAGTTTTCACCCTGGTATCCAATGTCACAAACACATAATCCATTAACACACTGCCCCCTGTTGTTGCAGTTTTCAGGGCAGGAAAGGATAGAGCAATCGTCACCCTCGAATCCTGGATCACAGATGCATTTTCCGTTGAAGCAGTGGCCCCTGTCATTACAGTTTGAGGGACAGGTCAACTTTGAACAGTCCTCTCCACTGTAGCCCGTCTGGCACATGCACTGACCGTTCACACACATACCACGATTGTTACAGTTTCCAGGACAGGTGAGATTGCCGCAGTCTTCCCCGGTGAATCCCTCGTCACAGTAACAGGTGCCATTGTCACATCGACCACGGTCGTAGCAGTCATTGGGGCAGATGAGTTCAGAGCAGTCAAAGCCCGTCCATGGCTCATCACAAACGCACTCATCCTCTACACATCGTCCACGGCCCAGGCAGTTGTTGAGGCAGTTGGTATCCGCACAGTCTTTTCCAAGGAAGCCCTCCTCACACAGGCAGGAGCCATCAACACAGTGACCGTAGTCGCCGCAGTCCAGCAGACAGACCTCCACACTGCAGTCGTCACCGTCGAAGCCTTCAAAGCAATCACATTTACCGTCTACACAGCGCCCTTGGTCCTGACAGTCGTTGGGACACTCAGGTTCTGTGCAGTTGGGGCCCCTCCATCCAGGCTCACATGTGCAGCTGCAGGATTCAGCACTCCAGTTGCCATGGCCGTTGCAGTAGGGCTTTGTGGCAACCTCCCCTTGAATAAAGAGAGGCAAGGAAAATGTATTAAAAACTACCAAGAAATAACTTCAAATTAGCCAATACATAATAAAGCCGTAAGGTAACCAAAAGAAGGAAATGTTTGATTTATATTTGATTGTTTTTCTTTTTTTATTTACTTGGAAGTTTATGTGAGTCCATACACACCTGTAACCTGGGCTCCACAGCAGCCTGAGCCACTGCTGCACTGCTCCCTCAGACTGGACAGTTCAGCTTCCAGCATCTCCAACCTGTTCAGGATGTCCTTCATGTCTGGCAGCTGGTTGTTGCAATTACATGCCTGCTTGGGGATGTTGATGCGATGGGTGAAGACAATCTGGTTCTCGCCATCCATCGTGTGTTCCATTTGCTCTGTATTTTGCATATCTATAGGGGCAGTATTGTGTTTCAAGTCCATGGTCCCAGGTGAGTCCAGATCCACAGAGCAGAGGGAGGTGGTGGGAACGTTGATGTTGTAGACATGGTTAAAAACCACAGGCTGGTCAGGATTGGGCAGTGTCAGGTTTTCCTGTGTTGATTTGGGAGACAGAGTCTCTCTACGGTGACGGATGACCCGAACCAGGCCAGCGGTGGAGAGTTGGAAGAGCAAGGCTGTGGCTACACAGCCTAAGAGGAAATATTTTACCCACATGGTGACTACACGTTGACTCAGCAGCTTCTGCGGAAGTAGAAGCTGGAGACCACAGGTGGAGTCGAGCAGACTGGTGTTCTGGTCTTTAGACCTACAACAATGAATAATGAATTCACTTATTTTGCATTTCCTGTTAAAACACTCAAACAACATTCTTACTTGATAAATCACTTTCCTCATTTGTTGAAGTTTTTACTAGAGATGACAATAAAAATAATCTCAAAACAACATATATAATGTGTATACTTTCAACTGAGCTTAGCAGCAGCTGGGTTGAGTATGTCATTGTCATTGAAAATCCATATGAAAACACAACAATTTTCTCATCTAACATTGATGCAATATTATCCATTTATCTAATGATATTTCATGACTAAGAGACAACATCATTCATTAAATTACTTTCCTGGTACTTTTTCTAACTACTTATACTATTTCCTGCATAGAAAATAATCCCCCACCGCCCCCCGTACTGTACAGTCCAGATTAAAAAATTAAAAAAAGTAGGAAGAACATCTGTCCTTGGATATTTTCTGTTTTTCACGATGAGTCAGCCTGCCACACGACAACACCTGCTAAGTGAGGAGCAGCCTCTTCTTTGACTCTGTAGTCCAGGCCACATCAGACTGTCAGGCTCATGGTGCTGTTGTGTACGCCATCTGTGTTACCGCACCACAACCTGCAAACCAGGCAGTCAGCATCTGGCCAACAGCTATACAAACAAGAGTTGGGGTAATTTTTTCTTATTCATGCACAGTAACACGATTCTTAAAGCTTTCACCTCTCTGAGACATGAGACTTTCAAAATTTCTGCCGGAAAAAAGGGAAAAGAATACAAATGTGCTGAGGTAGCAGCAAACACAGACCAACCTTCAAACCAGATGTTACAGCTGGCTCCTTCATCAGAGCATTAAATGAAATATACAGGTCAGGTAGAGGTGTGCAGTGGCTGCCTGTGTGTCTTAGACTGTAACAGGGAGCATATTCTGTTTGAGTCTCCCACAGCCCACTACTGTAACTGTAAATCATGTTTATAACAGGACTGAGTAGTAGCATGTTAGCTTTCTAAGAAGGGTCAACTTTTTATTCATTTATTTTTTAGAAAAACACAAAAAAACTAAAAAAGTATTTTGGATATCACTTCACTAGCAGGTCATTATGAAGCTTAATTATTATTAATTTAGATATTATTATTATTTACGTAAATATTTATCTTTTACAAACACTTTAGGAGGCATCGTGGGCTGTGAAATATGGCAAAAAACAAAACGTTCACAAATCTCATTTACCCGTTCATACGGTTATAAGTTATTTCTTGCAATGCCCTGTATGTGTGTTACAAAATGTCTTTTTATTTATTTATTCTTTACTATTTTCACTGTTTTTTTATTTCTATAAAATGCTTATTTTATCACAAAAATAATAAAAATATGGAAATGTAATTTTTTTTTACATCCCGTAATACCATATAATTGGGAGAAAGGAAATACTAGACTGCCTTCATTGGAACTAAATTATTAAAATGTGCTGAGCCAAGTTTGGAAATCTACACACTACCTGACCTTCATGGTCTGATCATGGCTGCATAACAAAACACAACATGTGGAGTAGAGATCTGGATTTTTCCCAACATAACTAAGACAGATCTAATTTAAATGAAATTTACGTCGGTACTAAGTCATTGAAGACATTTAAAGATGTGATTTGTCATCTATTATTGCTGTTGTCAGTGAGGAGGGAAGCTCCTCTGTTTGTGCTGGCACAGAGGCATTAAGTGTAAGACACAAAAGGAAAAACAGCTGTTAATGACAACTGTAAAACTCTCTTACTGAAGTACAACTATTTCCATATAGTTTTTGGTTTCCTGACAAAACCAGACTGCTCCAAGATTTCTAGACCTTATTCCATTTTTGAACTTGATGAAGCTTCTAAATGGATATGACATGGTCACGGGTTCACAATAATGATCACTCACAGACATACACACACCCAGTGCCATTACACTACTGTGGCCAAGCATCAAAAACCAGGGATTAAAACACAAAATAGGCATAAAATTGCTTTGTGTTCAGGTTTTAGTTTTGGGCGAATGGTTGACTTTGCCCTTCTGAAGCATAGCTGCTCTCAACTTGGACCTCAGGGCAAGGCAAGCCCCCAAGAAACCAAAGCAGGCTTTGTCTGAAAATCTGTGACTCTGGCAAAACCGAGCATTCACTCCTGAACAGAAACTTTCACAGTGTCTGGGAAATCATTGGACTTGGCCTTTTCAGTCCTTCACTGCCGTCTACTAATCTGTAACAGTCACAATATGAGACTCTGAGTGTGACCCTGAGAAACACAGACTTGATCCTCAGTTTGGACTTCCTTTATGGGCTCCCTGTGGCCCTGGTATTATGCTAATGCTGCTGGTTGTTGGCAAGATGGACATGAGCCTAATAGAATCTTGACTGCTGCTTCTTTGTAGTTCCTTCACTTGGTTTTTAACTCTATAGTTAAACTTCTCAGATAGCAACAAAGCCTTGTGGCTGCCTCGTCGTTAAATGTGACAAGAATTTAACCAGCTGGATCTCTCTGCTCTCACTAATCTATGAGAACTTTACCTGATCTTTAAACTTCACAAGCTCAGGGGACACGATCAAGTTTCAAAAATGATTAGTTATCTCCACATGGTTCTCTCCAATAGTTCAGCTCATTCTCCAAATGTCAGTGAGGCAGGGAGCTATAACTCTCACTGTTATTCTGACATCCATTTTGACCAACTATTCTGGCCATCAGTGTTAAAGTAAAGATCTGTAGTCTATATTCTTAACACACCTAACCACTGCACACGAAAACGAGCTAAAAAAAAAATAAATAAACTGTCTCTTATTTGAGCAATGCCCCCAAAGGAAATGTAAATGAGTGGCTGATTTATGTATCAGTATAAAGGTTTCCCAATTGTCCTATAGTAATTTCATACTTTCAAAAGTAGTAACCAAAATGCATCATGAGGAACACTGATATTTGGGCCCCTATGGTCCATGTGTGTTTGGGTTTGAGTTGATAAATATAGAGTTAGTTGTGGCTAAAGTTGCAAACAAATGCCGGTGTCAGAACGCCAACAGCTGTCTCTAGGGTCGCGCCCATTATACAGCAGGAGTCTCAAAGTGGAGGGTCACACCACTGGTTCAATGTTCAATACAAAAAAATTCTAGATATTTAAAAAAATAGTATTTTGGGTTTAATATATCCACTGTATAATACAACAGCGTGAACAACTGGAACAAATCTTTTTCTTTTCAGATTCTTAAATAACTGAGACATTTTAATGCTTTTGCATTAAAATATACCTAGTACCCATTCCCAGACTATGTTGTGTCAGGAAGGGGATGTGGTGTAGAAACTGTGCCAAATTACTATGCAGATTACAATACTTCAGTGGCCCATGATGAAGAAACAAGAGGAAAAAATGACAACAACAACAAAAAAAAAAAAGATAGATCATGCTGCGAGTCTTTGTGCATTAAACATGCAAAACAATGTCCTTCTGGATTAATAAACAAACAACCTTCCACAGGAACTAAACCTCAGGTATAACTTCCGTCAACTCTGAAAGTACGTACAACTCTCTTTCTCTAAATTGCCTCTTGATGCTGCTGCTGCTGCTGCTGCTTATTCTTCTACCTGCTGTTTGAGTCTAAAACCATAATCCCTGTGTAAATCAAGCGATTGTAGATATTTCTCACAGAGGAGGACTAAGGAGGATCAAGATAAGAGTAAATCCAGGACATCACAGTCAGCAAGAATCCTTAAAAGATACTGAATACCCTCCCCCTCCTTCTCCCCCACCTGACCTGGCACGCAACAAATCTCATTAGACCGGTCCACGATCATTGATGTCATGTCTCTGCCGACATTCTTTTAAACTTTAAAACAAATAAACCCTGCACTGATGATGACTTTCCCTGTTCAGTTTTTCCTTCCTCTGCCTCTCGACCTTCAGACACAAGGTTTGCTTTCATTTTAACGAGTGATTGATTAATGCACGTCCACAGACAATCTGGTTATATCTTCTGCAGGAGTCATGATGTCTTTAAAGGACGGTCAAAAGCCACATGCTAAAAAACTTGACATCACAGGGGTTAAACTCTTTCTTCACTAAACCCCGTCATTATTGGTGGATATTTTTTTTTAGTAAAAGATGTGAGTTGTTTTTATATAAATATATAAGAAATATAATATTTTTAAAAGAGATGTGAGGTCTCATGACCAGACCAGGCTTGATATGGAGGCAGAGACATTTTGAGCCAGTTCCCGCTTTGTTGGATGCAGAGAATTTTCAGGACACAGTCAAAGCTGGAGATAATCACCAAAGGTTGATCACAAAATTAAGTTTTATTTTATTCACGGAGTGGTTTAGTGTTAGTTCCAGCCATAGGCGGAGTTTGACTTTTGCATCGGAGAGTTAGGGTGGGGGCTAGGGGACAAACATTTTAACGTCAGGGCACTTGATTAAAGATTTAAAGTGCACAGTAGGGAAACGCATTGCCCTGTACAATGAACATATGACATAGGCTATTACACATATACAGACAACTTGGAATTAGCTGAGCTTGCTATTCCAGAGCTGGTCCCGGGTGTTTCCTTGTCCTATCATTTTTGGTAGGACCTATTCACTGATAGCTATCCTATTAATGAACGAATGATTGAATGCTAAAATGAAAGGGAAACCATCAACGTCACAATGTCGAATGTCACATGACATGAGAACTAGAGACACCAGTGTGAACTATGTACATGTCCAATGGAGATTGTAGTATTAGTGACCACTGAGGTTGCATGGACCTGTGCCATGGAAACGAGTTTTTGTTTCTGTCATTGTCATTAAGCAGCGTAAATTTGTCTGAGGTCAGGCTTCAGTCTGTGCAGCATCACAGTAGAGTTGTTGAACCAACCATTAACATTTTCCAACAGTTCTAAAGTGTGAACAGTGTCACGGCAGTGTTAAAAACAGTAAATAATAAAGCAGGTTGTCCCACCTTGTGCAGAGAAAAGCTGTAAATAATCAAGGACCACCATCACCACCAAAGTCCTTGGAGTGCACATTAAACA